TCTTCCCTCAATAATACTATATCTGAACAATTTCATCATTGTCATTTCGTCACTTTTATCTTAACATATTATGGTCTGGCTTATTAAGATGACTACTCTCAATTTTAAGTTATTCAGATACAAATTTTATTTAGTATATTTTATTTTTCAGTATTCACTTTTACTTATTTTATAAATAGAAATAATCTTCATAATTTGGGGGAGTATTTAATAACAAACTATACCACCATTACTTTTCCATTCCATTGCAAATTCCGTTTAAAATATTTTCACAAATCAAGTATTACTAATGGATGAAAAATCATCTTGAAATGGCTGGCTACTGAGATACATAATAGTATTTCAATTGTTAAAAAGGACTCACTTAAAAAGTTTCAACATTTATGTCAAGGGTCATAGCAAACTGTGGCCCGAGGGCCAAAGACAGCTTGTCACCCATATTTGCAAATAACGTTTTATTGGAACCCAGCCACACTGTTTGTGCAGTTATTGTCTCTGGCTGCTTTCATGCTACTATGGCAGAGAAGAGTTGCAACAAAGACTTCACGGCCCTGAAAACAGTTACTCCCTGGCCTTACAGAAAAAGCTTCCTTACTCCCATTTTATTTGTTCAGTCTGCTAGAGTTTAGTTTTCAAAACTTAAAAGAACAGAAATAAAATAAATCTTTTTAGTAAGACTCTGAAAGAAATTAACATTGTGTTCCGTAAATGATGAGAGCTGGTGTTTGGGAATGATCGCCTGATACAGTCATGAACCAGAAACTCTCGGACTAACTGCATGAGTGGGGTTGAAACGAGCGAGCACCGAGCGAGAAAAGAGGAAATCTGAAGGACAGACACTCGTGAGAGGAGAATAAGGACGCTCACCCTTGCTGGCGCTGATCGTCTGTAGCACCATCTCAGCTGCACCACGATCGTGGAGTCGGGCTTGCTGGTAGAGCAGCTTTTGCTTTTCCATTTCCTTTTCCTGAACACAAATCCCAACCATTTATGTTAAGGCTATCAGTAAGCACAGCAGCTTTCTATAGACCATATTTTTAGTCATCTCTTCATGTATGGGCTCTATGACAACATTATGGACCATTTCAACACCAACAATGTTATTAAACAGATATTAACATATTCAACTCTTGTTTTTTTTTCCCCCCTTTATAGTTTTCTTGATATTCTTTTGGTACTGGTTTATCAGGATGGCTTTTTCGCAATTTTAATGATTTGATTCGTCCAAAGCCTGTATCACAGTTTTGAAGTACTGTACTTCATCACTGAAATGTGCACTTTCTGATTTAGACATTTGTGCATAAGTTTGTCACATTTTTAAATAATCTCCCATGTCATGGCCATAACTTGATACTGCTCAGCAAATGGCTCGAGTTGCAAGGTATCACTGAATCACAGAAAAACATTAACAGAGATGTCTTGGAGTTTTAAGCAAAATTGAAAGCTGATATGGATAAAAAGGTAGGCTTCAACTAAGTAGTGGATTTATGATACAGATCTCCCCAGTCACCCCGCGCCAAAGAATAAGAGATGCAATGTGCCTTTATATTTTGTATTCTCTGGTGGCAACAAACGATACTGCATGGTGCTGCTGGAGCAATGGCTGGAGTTTGTTCTTTTCCACTTAAGCTACCACTGAAAACATAAAGAAGGAAATAAAAATAAAATATAAAGGCACAGCAAATTCAAGACTGGTATGACCATTCACTTGAGCAATCCAGTTCGCTGGAGAATTGAGACGGGACTAAGCAGTATAAGTTGCAGAATGAAAGTTGCATAGAGCCCTATGACAGCGATCCATCAAATGGCGTGGGAGGGAAGCTTAGTCAATGGGACATGAAACGGTCAATTAGTATCATGTCCATAAACACAACGGCCAAAACATATATGACCTAAGAGCAGGAAGAGCTGCAGCAGAGGTAGCCAAAGTGACAGCTTTGCTGCCATAAACTTTCCATCCAAAGTACGGAAAATAGACACTGGAAGATGGAAGAGGTTTAAAAAATGAAGGCTTGCTAGTTACAGAATATGAAAAATAAAGTGAACTAAAAGGAGGGGGAAAAGAAATGGGCTCAAACAAATGAATAAAGAAACCTTTAAATCAAAAGCAACCAACACAGACATTTATGCTGTTACCAGAGAGTTCTCGCCGAGGCTGGCAAATTTGTTTCTTAAATCTTTGATAATATCGTGCTGCGAAAACAAAATTGATCAGGGTTTTTTTTCACACTATAGTTAGAGCTCCTGTGGTTAAATTTTAATTTTTCTTAAATTATGTGATAGGCCTAAATGGAAGCAGAGAAAAGAAAAAAATAAAAAATAAAAGAGGCAGCTTTGCTTTATATGTAGCCATGCTAACACCTAAAAGGTTTGCCTTCATGTTTAAACCTCTTCCTGTGAAGTCAAAAACAAAACAGAAACAAAAACACACAGACACACAAAACCATACTGTCATTACAACACAGTTTCAGAAAAACTGAAAGAGGACCCTTTCGTCTGCTCTTCAGGTGTTGTTTAAAATCCATAAGCAACATTTGATTCTTCCTTTTAGACCCAACAATCTTTTTACTTTCCTCCCATTGGCGAAGCTATCACACAGAACTTTCACTTAAAGCTTAACCGACTTCTTTTGTGAAAGAGTTTTTCCAGTAAGAAAATGATAGGAAATTACTGGCTTACGGAATGGCCCTATCGTTTGCAACAACTAAAGCGGCAAGGGAGTCAGAAAGAATGGTTCTTCTATTGACCCACTAGAACATGGAAAGACAGTCATTGGGAAACTCACAGAAGATGGAAGATGGCAACATGTCATATACTTTTGAGAAAAAAACAAAACAAAACAACAGTTTGACATTTGTGCTCCAAAAGTGGGTAGACTGGTTCAAAGACCTGCTAGAACGACTTGCACAATAGACTCTTATGGTCCCGGTAACCACTTTGGTAAATGAAACCACACATGATGAATGGACCAAGAAATAGATAGGATATCAAATTACCTTGTTTAAAAATAAACTCCCTGGACAAAAGTTACTCTCATTTTCTTATATAGTATCTAAATTTCAATAATAATAAATATTTTGAGGAAGATGATGAAACTCATTTGGGGAAAAAAACAAAACAAAACATTGAGCCAAAAAGTTATACTGACCTAGAAGCAGAAAAAAAACGATACTTCATAAAAAAGGATCAGGTTAACCTCTCTCTTGAATTTCTTCTTTGTTAGACTGAATTAGCAGCTCTCTTTTCAGAACTCTTAATATTTCTTTCCACTACTTTGTCCTTTGAGAACAGCTTCGGGGCATACAATTTTATCTTCTCATTGGGAAATTTTATCACATTAAAAAATAAAATCTTGAGAGCTAAACCAGAAAGTTCCCAGATAATAAAGTGATGGATTATGTGGAAAGAAAAAATTTTTTTTCACTTCAAATTTACTGCAGATTAGCTTTTCTAAACAAATTGTCCATAGATCTTTTACAAGAGCTTACTCAGGGAAATGGCATCTTGAAAGTACCTTTTTAAAAGTAGAGTTTCCCTGCCACCACCAGATTGTGCTTAAACCACCTAGGGGTCTTAAAGAAACACCATTATACCTTCAACCTGCAGGTCAGTCTTTTTAGTTATTCCAAGGGGGAAAAAAAGAGTATAACAGTAATAGTCACTCCCTCTTAAAGCTAACTAATAACTCTTTCTTTTACAATGCTTAATTGTGTGCTTAACAATCCCCAGCAACTGGCCTTGAACAACTTACCCTGAAAGCAAGATTGTAGGACTCCCCCACACCCCACCCTTCCTGGGGAGAAAAATGCTGAACAGTTAACCTTCAATTCTGTGGTGGTCTAGCTCATGCAGGCCAGAGGACCAGACGGCCATTACTCAAGCAAACGTGGGAACAAGATCTGATGCCTTTCTTGTAGTGAGCTCCTGCTCCTGGTTTCCCAGAACTCCTTTCCCTTTAAAATCCTTCAGCCAGCTTGAGGAATTTAAGAAGGTCTTTGTGACATGAGTCTGCCTTCTCCTACAGAATAAACCCCCTTTTCCTATCACCAATTTTTATCTCTTGAGTCTGGCTTTTGGAGCAACAGGAGTTCAGTTACAAGAACAGCTCTATAATTTGAATTTTTCCCCTAGGCAAAACATTCTGATTATCAAGAGTACCCAAGAATTATCAGCTCATATCCTAGTGAGAGCATTGTGAGTCTTTTCAAGGTCAAATGTGGTCATGAAAATCAGACCCATAACCAGATTGCTGGCAATTTGCAAGTATTCAACCTCATGATTTGCTTTTGGTATAACTAAAGTTTGTAATAAAATTGCTAGTATTCTTCTATTTTGTCTAAGAGTGCCTTGAGCTTTTAACACTTGATTGGGGCCGGGGTGGGGGAGATGCGGGGGGTCAAGTAGAAAGGCCTGAAGGCAAAAAACAACTGCATTTGGTTCTTCAACAATTTGCCTAAGTGAGAAAAAAATATTGAAGTAAGAAGAATAAATTACAATTGCCCTTTGCTCCTTGATGGAGAAAATAATTTCTCCTTATAATGGAGATTAAGAGATATTTTAAACCAGGGCAGCCTGATGACAGCAAAGACATTCACATGGTTTCTAAAGGACATTCCTCAGGTCCTTTGACATCTGGGGCAACATTTGCACACATTACAGCTGAGGCTACCAAATCTATCATCTGGGCATCACGCCTAATGAGCCCAGTTTCTTTTTTTTTTCTGTGTATTTCCAAGACGTCAACAATGGTTTCCATTATGCTTTCCTCTAAAACTGCAGGTGAAAACAAGTTACAATGTAGGAGAATAGAAATTTCCAGGAACTGAACTCTTTTTTAACATATTTCCCATAATTTATTAATGTCATAAGTCGATCTGAAATATTCTTATTTGACATCTTAAACATAGTTATAACCTACAAGGTGATGTTGAATATCAATATCACAAGAAAAGAAAAGACTGAAAAATAGAAGATTCAATTGGATAACAGTGGGGAAGATGATGAAAGGGAGTGAAAACAATACTAATATAATTTGGTTTATAACACAAACAGGCCAACTCAGACTAAGGAAAAACAAAAGCAGGGGTAAGAATCACATTCTCCACTTCAATTAATTTCCTTCTGCTGTGTTCCAGCTCCTGACAGTGTAGGTTAGCTACATTCTATAGAGTTGACTGACACTGATAGGAAAACACTTAAAAGATTATAACTTTGTTTAATAGTAAATTATTTACAAACTAAAAAAAAAATTAAATAAATATATATGGAATTTCTTAGAAGAAAAGATTCACAAAAACAGGGACCCTAGCTGTTTCTTTGTTTTAAACGCCAGTACAAACTATACAACCAGTATAGTCCCTGTACTTAACTGGTATTCAAGAAAATTTGCATGAAAAAATGATAGAACCAAATGATGTGATATCATGTTCACAATCTAAAATATTACAAATGTTATCTTTCTGTTTGAAGAGCTATAAAACTAGTACAATATGAAAAGTTTATTTAGTTTTCTTTTAGTACATGGTCAAAGTGTTCTTTAGAATTACACACAAACAATAATTATCCAATTGTAGGCTTTAGCTCATTTAATTTTTTTGTTTATACCTTTCATTATTATCCATTCTCTTGACTACTGGACTTTCAAACAGTATGATAAAAAATCTTCCAGAATTCTACTTCTCAATAGGATGAGCATAGTTTCTAATGCTCTCTCTTTAATAAAAACAAAAAAGGAAGAAAATAAGTCTTTATCCAAATCGAACTCTTTAAAAATGGTATCAAAGTATTACTAATATACAGAGACGAAAGAAACACTAAACCAGAGACGTGTACTTCAGTTAACATGCTAGAGGCTCTAAAGTTTAGATACACTGTATAATGTGACTTTATGGCTAAATCTTCAATATTACATACACTTGTATTCTGGGTGGAATATTGTTTCCCATGGATTCAGCATATTTAGAACTAATTTAAAACTATGCCGAAGCAATAAAACTCAGCTGAGTTGAATTAGTTTTCTATTTCAGGGTCCAAAAGACAAAGTTTACACTTCTGAGAGAAAAAAATGAGTAACTCTACAATCAGAAGTTATCAGATTAGCAAAGCTAAATTGACTTATCCTTAGAGGGAATGGTTGATTCCTGAACACAACACTGATTTAAAAAAACAGCCTTCAGGCACCTATTTATTTGTTTCAGCCTTAAAAGCCATGGATACAAGTGGAGCCCATTCTTCCGCTCTTGTGGAACTGATCAACACTAGG